CACAGGGTCACACAGAATGAACACATCTTTCAGTGCCAAGCTACCACCTCTCTGAAGGTCTGAGCACAAGCAAACCCAAGTATTGCAGTGGGAAGGGGTCACGGGTCTGTAAAGGCTGTGCGTCTGTCCATCCCATCAGCCCAGAGTATATTCATGATGGGACTGGTGTCAGCTTGGGTTTGGCCATTCCAAGGGATTTAATTAGCAGCTAAAGAAACAACAATCTGTCTGGTTTAAGCACATTTGGAGAGTTACCTTGCTGTCTTCCTCAGCAATAAACTGTTCTTGGCTAAGGTCGTCTTTCATCTGCACAGTAAATAAAACTGTCAGCTGAAGCTGAGTTTCTGTTTCTCATCAGTCAAGCAATACAATCAAACTCAGAGCAGCGTATTTAGACAATGATTCTGAGAGAGAAGGCAAACCTTAAGGAAGTTTTAGTACAATCATTTCCTGTCAGTTGATCAACATAACAGACACAGTAATTTAGCTGGGGAAATGTGGTATTAAAGCTTACAAGCCTGATAATCAGATTGTCTTTAGAGGCAAAAAATCAAGCTGGTTTTCCAGACCTTACCATAACCATTAATTAAATACTTACCATCTCTTCACTTAGCATCTAAAGAACATTTAAGCAAAAATCTAGCAGTTTTAAGAAAAAACAACCTCCTCTACCTTGCCTATTTAATTCTAGTTCTATCATGTAGGAAATTTTACTGCCGTCAAGCAACATTTCTCATCTTTGTAAGAAGGAATTCAACTGGAAGTATTAAAATATTTTCAACACACTGCTTATTTTTATCTAGAGGAAGATAAATTATTATATGCATGCAAGTAGTAAAAGCACTTGCCAGAAATAATAGGGTTTATTCCCACCATACCTGCAATACATCAACCACTACACGAAAATATTTCTCTTTCCCAAGCAATTAGCCTAATTTGTAGTGAGCTCACACAGACTTTCGCAGTATTACTCTGCTGCAGATTATTACTTGCCTAAAATATGATGCTTACATTTCTCCAGTACATTAACAAATAGTACTGTTTGAGAGAGGAAAAACAGGTAGAAATATTACACCTGTTACTCTGATTCTCACAAACACCAGATAATCCTATACCAGTCAACACACAGCGATTCCGGTTGCCAAAACAAGTATTTATTTTTCCTAATATTCTGACAGCATTTTGCATAAATGCAGAAGCAAACCTGGTACGGTCTGAAATCAGACTAGAGCTCTGCCGCTCGTTTCACGTCCGTTCTCTCCCCGCACATTCCATTTCTTAAAACCCAGCACATCAGCAGAGCCTTTGCAAAAGAAGACGCATACCTTGATCCCTCTAGGGCTGAGGAGGTTTTGTTTATTCATATTTTTTAAACAGATGGAATAAAATCTCAATTTCCCTTACTATAATACAAAAGACAGATAATAGCGTATGGAAAATGCTATTTTCCATGCATCAGGTCCACCTCACCATATCTGTTAGCACAATCTAGAATTTACTTCCATGGTTGGGTAAATGCAATTTTTTTTTTCTTTATGCATAAATCCACCCTCACAGCCAGTCGATGGATCTTCCGTTAGTCCTAGCTGTCTTTTGGGGACGTTCAGCTCCCCACCACGTTCAGGGACCTCACTCCTGTGGTCCTGCAGCTCCGTGTTGGAGCTCCCTGCCTGGGCAGCCATGAGGGCATGGATGTTGACTTGGGGTACTGAGATCTCCAACAAACCACCAGCCAGAAGAATCGCATTTAGGAGACCATGCCCCCGTATAGATTCATTACAAGAATAACTAAAGTTAGAGCAGGTTTGCCCCCAAAGTCTCACATGACTAAACAAGACCACCTGGCTCAAGCGGCACGCTGGGCATGAAGAGCCCCTCACTTCTGCATGGAGACAGAAGGGGTGAAGAGCCCCCCTAGCACTGCACAGCCTCATGCCCTGCGCTGCAGGAGGTCCCCAGCGCCCAGCTGAGACGATCTGCTCCACAGACCCAGCCCCACTTCTGCAAGGGAGAACCTGCAGAGATTTCCCTAACGGCAGCATCCTAACGGACCCACTGACTGTGGGAGTAAATCCCAAAGCCCTTGTGTCGTGAGAGGTCCAGCGTGACCACTGCCCAGAGTAAGCCCCAAGCCCTTGAAATGACGACTGACCCACCCAACTCCAAGTTCATGGAGCTTTCAGTTCCTTCACCTCCTGTTTCATTGGGGAGAGAACAGCTTGTCCTATTTCTTGTGAAAAGAGTGCCAGAAATAGGAATATTTATAAGGAATTTGGATCTATCTATCCAAACCCAAACATTCAAAAATCATGACTCACAATCCCCTCCCAAATCATGGGATTAAATTAACATATCATGGGATTTTGAAAGATGCTGTCTTAAAAATTATGGCATACTATACACTTCATGTTATTCACTACTTTAAAATATATTTACACAGTCAGAAACTACAAAGTTTTTATCAACAGTTGAAAGAGCCAGAAGCTCACCTAGGGGGGAAAAAAAAAAAAAAAAAAAACAACAACACTCATCACATATTCATAAAATTCGTGGAGGCCAGACCTTTAAAAATAGTCCAAGTGTTACAATTCATCACAAGTAAATTTATGGGACTTGGCAACAATGCAGTTGTCTCCAGCGATGGTAGAAGAGGGGGAGTGCTCTTGGTTAACCTCTTTTTTTTTTTTTTAATAGACACAGCACACTGAAAGGGCCCTACTAAGTATTTCCTAAATAAGCCCATTGATTAATTTAGAGCACTATGGAAACACACAGCACAGCGTGCTTATCATGCCCAGTCACTAAATATTTTGATATTTGTTAACCAAAACTAGATGCATTCTGGAAAAAGACAAACTGGAAAATAAAATTACAGGTTTTGAAAGCATGTCCTTTCCCTGCCAAATCAGAGGTGGGAAGCCAGGTTTAAAAAAAAAAAGTAGAGAATCAACCAGTTTTGGAGTGGCCTTTCACTGTTTTTGTTAAAAGCAAAGAGAATTTCATGGAAAAAAAAACCTATACAGTATAGTGGGTTTTTTCAAAATTAAAACAAATCTTTAATCAATTTTACAAATCAACAGATGGTGGATGGAAGGGAAGATTACTGCTCTTAACATTCTTTTCTTTATTTTAAAATTTGAAATATGAAAAATCACAACTATTCCTACCTATCACCAACACCTGCTGTTCCAGACATAGTCAGTGTTGCATCTCATTCTGGCCTGCACGAGTTCAGCCTCGATTTTGCTTTTTAATCCCACTGCGCTGGCTGATGGCTATTATTACTTTGTGCCTTTGTACCAGTGCCTACAAACTTCGGCCCTTACACGAGCGCACGGTGCAGGTGAGGTGGCAGACACAGCAGTCTGGTGGCATCACACACCGCACGTAGCTTTGCTGCCAGTCACGGTGGGCAGCACACGAGCAGCCCTGCTGTCAGCTCCTCGAGAAGCCACACAGCATGGCACTGCATTTCAGAGAGGTGTTTTCCAGATATTGCTGTCAGAGCCTTCCTCTAGCAGGTACCACATGCCAGTAACTGGAGCTGATCAACAATTTATGCTTTTCTGTGTACCAGACTCCTACTCCTGAGGAACATTTACCATCCAAAAACAAAAACACTGCCATAAGGTGTGAATAAAATCAAGTCTCTTTTGTTTAAGAGGAAACACAGTGACTGGCTGATATTTTCCAACATTGCAATAATTTTATAAACATCTACTAACAGAGCAACTTTCATCCTATGATTCTGGGATCGTGGCACAGACTCCTGTGTCCCCCAGCTCTGCTCCAGAACAAGTATGAAGGCAACCAGAAGAGCCCACCACAGCACTGCCTTAGTCACTAAATTCATGGGTCATTTTGATGGCCAAAGTGGAAAAAAAAAAAAAGTCAGTTGAAGGCTATTTTTCTTCCCCCAGCCCCCCCCATACCAACTTGAACATTGAGAAACGGATATTGTTCGCTTGGCCCTAATTTCAGTGCCTCATCTCTGTGACTATCTGTTCCTTCAAGTGGTTTCTGGGGATTACTATAGGCAAGAGTAGAGTATAGATCAGAATTTTTACAACAGGTACCATACTCTGTCTTTTGAAAATGGTTAAGGTAGTACAGTAGAGGGACAGGATCACTGGGAATCTAACACACTGCATTATACTTGAAAACATGTTATACTCAAATAAGATAATACTAGGATATGAGTGGCAAATAACTCTGCAGTTGGTACGCACATTTGGAACAAAAATGTAGCTGTTTTGTTGTTTCCACTCAAATGGCCCGGTTAATCTCAGTGTTAGCATCAGCTGTCAAAACATCCACTTACCAGATCTGCATCCCTTACTTATTCAGAAAAAAGGTGCAACATCAGAGCAGTTACCAGAGAAATAGAAAATACTACATAGAACGGGTGTTTATGTTTAGCTCCTGTTATTCCATCAGTGTGTCTCACATACTTAGTATGCTAAATTCCACTCTTGGAAACACATAAATAAATCAAGAAAGTTTGTGTTCATGTCTGAAGATACCATTATTTCCCTGTCGGGATTAAATCCAGCCCAGTGAAGACACCGTCAATGAGGCCCAGTTACTATATCAGCCTTCGTGTCCTTGCTGCAGCCTTCCAACATGACCTTTGCAAAGCCAGCACTGCTACCTGTCCCCAGCAGGCACAGGCATCTCTGCATTGCTGCTTCTTCCATCATCCCCTTCTTCTGCTCTGAGCCAGGGACTCGGTGGGATGCAGGACTTTATGCTGGCTATCTCCAGAGCCAAGGAAACTCTTTAAAGCACACTCAGCTCCACCATTCTGGAGATGGTTTTGGCTGCTGCAATGCTTGCTTAGCCCAGGTAAAGCATTCAACTCCTTCCCTACCTTTTCATCCACAGAAGGAGAACATATTTCCATTTTCAAAGATAAAAAAGGACAGAGATAGCAGATCACATTGGCTACATGCCTTCATCTACACTTTATACATCAGCTGGCATTAACATCTCTGCCTTACCTTTATACAGGGTATCTGCATTCTCAATAGGAAGCTGCTTCTTGGCTGCTGCTCTGCGATAGACCACGTGCGTTCTGCCTCCTCCCTCCTCCTCCTCCTGGGCTCCCTTCTCCAAAGGTTCAATGAAGAACTCGTCCTTGTCCGTGCGAATCATGCCAGCCTGCAGCGACAGGGCAAGAGATCGAACATTTTGCATTACTGCACATACAGCAGACATTGTGAGTAAACAGTTACAATATGCTTAAGCACACTTTAGTGCTCTCTAGAGAGCAATTAGGATGCAGAGAGGAAACCAGGTGAATTCTTTATTAGAGCAAAACGAAGCATTGTTTCCCCAATTTGACAAGAAAGGGCAAGAGGTACAACCCTGAACCAAAAGGACTTCTCAAACCACATGAGCAAAGTATAGGTCTAAGAATCTGTCTAGGAAATACACTCCCCATCAGAAACCAGCTACAACAAAAGTTACTATGACCTTAGCTATCCGTCAGGCCCAGACTACTCCTGTGTTTACTACCTCTGCTAAATAAAGGATAAGTTCAGTGCCATAAGCTGATCCTGATGTGCAGTTCAAGAGTCAAAAAACGTAGAGTCAGTCTTTCTATTCCAAAGCAAGATGGAAAAGTACTATGCTTCACATGCAGGCAACTAAGCTTTGTGCTTATTTCCCCCTTGACACAAAGGGTTCAGCTGACAAAAGACTCTTTCAAGAATTAGCCACAACCAGTTTAAAAAAAGGTGTCAGTAGTGCACTGCTAAGAAATAAAAACTTATTCAGACTGGACCAGATACCCTGGTATGAAGAAAAGATAAATTTGCACTCCTACAGAGCACCTCAAAGGAACATCACCCAAGTGATTTTCACTGTCTTCAGTGAGAGGAAACCCTCATAAAGACTGAAGACTCTAGAAAGAAGTCTGTCCATCATGCTCATGCAGGTGAAACAACTTGGGCACTTGCATTGCCTGCATTTGTCTCCTCTTGCAGTCCTGCCGTACCGCAGAAGGTCACAGCAGCTAGTAGTTGGCTGGCAGAGATGGTTGGCTTGAATCAATTTTTCCTGCACGTTTGCACATCTGTGCTTGAGAACTTAACTAATGAACTCTTAGCTTGTAAACAGAAAGTCTTACTATTAACATGAAAGAGATTGTTTAGATTATTATTGAGAGAAGCTCCAGATTCAACCTTCAGGGAGCTTCCAAGCTCCTTCATCACTCTCTTTCCCACTCTGCCCACTGATGATCCTGGAGTCACTGGACTTTCAAACTGAGCACAGGAGAACATCTCGACACTGTGACACACTTCATCTTGTTATCTGAGCTTCTGGGAGCCTAAATCCTCTGCTGGGTGAAGCCCTACCTCAAGCTTCCAGGAGAACCAGTTTGGCCTCTTTGAACCCTGTATCCTGACTGGATACTGAAACTAGCATCATCTAAACACTCATATCATATCCCAGCACTAAAGTTCTCATACAACACATATTTTTCCTTCTACAAGCAGCAAACTATATTCCTACTGCTATAAATACAGTATGTTCTTTGGTTCCCTCCTTGGAAAAATGTCAGGTTCATTTGTCATGTCTTAACTTACATTAGGCAAGATTTCCAGTCCCAGATTTCATATATATAATGTATACAAAAACAGATTGAAGGGGAAGGATTAAGGAAGCAAAATTATATCGAAGCAATTTAAACTGATGCCATCCTGCCTGTATAGAGGAAACTGAATTTGAAATCCTGTCCTGTTTTTCTTATTTAATTTAGATTCTACATCAGACACAAAATAGGTGAGAGGCTCAGCAGCTCAAGAAAGCCAAGACAACCAAGAAAATAAGTGCTGAACCCAGGGAGACGGCAACTGATCTTTTACTGTAAAGAGGAATACGTGAAAAATTCAGAATTGATGTTATTCTCCTTTTAATGTGTATTTTAATTGTATACTCACAGGCTTCTTCTGGATATTAAAATATTATATCCAGAAATTTTAAAGTCTTTTTATGAGAAACGCACAACTAAAGATCAAGAAGGAACAATCATTTGCATGTTCAACTGCACAGAGTACAACGCACATGCCATACATACGCCCAGGAGATAAACAGAGAGCTTGACTGTCATAAAAAAAAAATGTGATTTTGCTTTTTTGCAAGTAAGCTGCATGGTTGTGCACATGTTCGTATGTATTTCTGGATTTATTAAACCTACTAACTAAGCAGCTAATTCCAGATCTTAGTTTAAAATGCAGTCAACACTTCAAGATCTTGGGGAAACGCTGCTGTACACTGTATGCAGCAGGGGGTACTGATGGGAGTTTGGAGGAATTTAGATCTTCTAAAGAAAATTAACAGATAGGTGACTTCTACAATCAGTAGTTGAACTGATTAGACAGAAGAACAAGTTTTACAGGTGAACTTTAGCTTCCAGGGTATGGTGGCCTTTTGGAAAAGAAAACACCTGGTCAGAGTAAAGACTCCCCCCTGAGAAGAAGGGGGTGACACCCTGGGACAGACTGTAAGACTAAACAAAAGACATAGTTGAATGCTGGTTCCCAAGACATAAAACCAGTGGTCAAACGCTGAGGTTGCCTGCAGATCATTGTGCCTGGTGCTGGCCCTTTTGCGTGCAGCATGTAGCACTGAATACTGCCAAAGAGCAGGCCGTCCATCAGGTGCTCTTATTTCCCGCTCTGCTTCTTGGATAGACATGACACCATGCAGTACATCCCCATGGCAGTATCCTCCCTAATGCTGTTGGAGTGTAGAACAGAAGGAATTTAACCTTCAAACATGGCTGAATATTTCTTTTCTTGTTTTCATCTTGCACTACACTGGAATTTCTCTTTTCCTTTAGTTCTGAGAAATTATTTTTGGTCAGAATTATTAGGAAAGAGTTAGCGTGTGTTTGAATTGTAAAAGATTTATATCTTTTTATGTATTGTATATCCTACAGTCTTTGGTTTAGCCAACATATTCTCATGAAATAAAATAAGAAAAAAAAATGGCTGCTTAAGAATTTAAGAAGAAAATTCACTTAGACGGCAAGGCAGAGTTCCTTCAGCAATCCACAGTTCAAGCCATCTGCCTAATAATATACCCACAGTTATAAATGATTCATTAAGAAATACGTGGGGCTCCTGAATGTCTCCACCACACATTTCCTTGCTGTTTTGAGCAAGACATTTAACCTCTTTACCTCCATTTCTCCACCTCTGAACCAGCATAACAACAGTCTTGCAGGATAATTACAAGGGCTGATTTGTTATTTTTTTTGCCAAGTGCTTTGAACATGAAAAGCTCAAGATAAATTGCCTAATGCATTTTTTCTGATACTACTCCGAACACCCTCAAAAAGCCACCATGAAAGGGAGATTGCTTTTAGCCATCAACTCAACACCAGTGTTGCACGCAGCCAAGCAAGCAACATCAAGGCATCGCTCCAGCAGCAGGGTTTTGCCGATGCCCTTCATCCATCAGCCCTGTTCTTATCTACAGACATCATCACCCTTGTGCCAGCTTGTCATGTCAAGACAACTGTCAGACAACCACCAAGTTTATGATAATAACAAAGAGTATTAAAGTTGCTGCAATTTCCTAGTCATCCAGAGGCATTCTCCAGAACAGAAACGCCCTGTTGTTTGAGTAAATCTGTGCCTTCCCTTCGATACAGGTTAGACTAAAAGGACTTCAGAAAATTTTTGGGCCATCGTCTGGACATTTACTCCAGGGGATGCGAAAGCAGAATTAAGCCTTTCAATTATCAGTTTCCCCAAGATCTGAACAGAAGAACAGTAGTTGCTTTCATGAACTAAGAGCTTAACAGTAACTGCTAGCAACAGCGTTTTTCTATCTTACACTGCCTGTCGCCCATCCCGGGAGTGCTGTACTTCCAGGAGTTACGGATTAGTGGTGCCTCCCCTGCAGCCACACACGTGCTGTGTAATTCAGAACTAGGTGTGGGACTAAGCATCTCCCTGGAAAGGACTTCCAATTGTGGTGGTGGGGGGAAATCACTGTTACCTCTTCTCCTCTTCTGGGGCTTTTAACTTCAAACTAAAGTGAATATGAGAATACTGCTAAATAACGATGGCAGCAGCACCTGTGTCCTGTGACTAATAAAAATATGAATTAATCGAAAAAGTGTTTGCCTTTGGAATGCACCAAACTGTAGCAAAGAGTCTATAATATTGCACTATTTCCCAAAGCAGGACATCCCCAGGTCCTCCTTCCAAAGGTTTTTAGATCCCAGCTGCAAATTACTCAAGTCAAGCAGTGCTTAGCGCTCATTAATATGCATTAAAGACTAGAGCAGAAGACACTTAATCAAAAGGAAACTGCAGTTCAGAGAAACAAAACCTCTAAGGTTAGCAAGGTGGTTATTTAGAAGCGAAAACCATACAGGAAAAAATTCACAAGGAAGGCAGAGAGTGGCTGTCCTGTCTAATTAAGACAAGAATTACATTGATAAGCCATAAATGAGTCCATTGCAATACACAGGGCTGGGGTTTAGAGCTCCACTCATCTCTTTTGGGAGTAAGAGGGCTCCTGAGCATCCCTGAAGACCTGCTTCCAAGGTTCTCAAGGACCACCAGATCTACAGATACTAGCAATGGCAGTGGCCACGGGGGCTTTCTGCCCAAGATAATTACGCTAGCCCCATCCACCATGATGGAGACCTCCTCTCCAGCCCAGAAGACCTGCTGACCTGCCACCGCAGAGCTCAGCTGAAAAGCAGGTCTCCTTTCCAGTCTCCGCAACATCCCCAACTCCTCTTGCATTTCTAAAGACATTCTCTAAAAGTTTAATTTGACAGAAAAACCACCTAGCATATTTAGATCTACAGAAAACTCCAGGTTTTAGAGTGTTAGCTCCTGTGGATAATTAAATGTCTCTCTGGCTCTGCACTTGGCGAGCGACTTAATTGTCTCCTCATTCCCATTCCCATCACAGCTCCCTGTTCTAGGCTGTAATGAAGTAACCCATCTAGCTGCTGCTTCAGGACTCCAGAGCCTCAGCCCATCCTGTAACCACAAGTTTAATTAACGTTCATTTTCCTCCTCATTAGTACTGCTTTACAAAGTTTCTCATTGCCATATAAAGGCAGATTTACTTCCCAATTTCCAAGCACACGATGCAGATAGGAAGCTAAAATTAAATGTGAACAAACCTGAAATTAATATAAAAAAATCCAAGTGTCTGCTTAGTTAATTAAATCAGTAACCTACAAAAAAAGTGTTTCAGAAACTCTTAGAAACACTATTTCTTGTAAATAGAGACAGTTTATTTTCTTGAGCATTTGATTCTGAAAAAGGCAATCAGACACCTGACATACCTCTGCATGAACAAATCCTAAATACAGTCCTGAATTTCAGGCGATTTTCTGAAGACCAAAGGGAGGTTCAAACTATCTGATATTTAACCTCAGCGCCTGGGTTAGGAGCCTGCGCTCCCTGCGACATCAATGAATCCTCCAGAGGGGAATTTGCAATACAAGATCCTCCCAACAATCAATTCACAGAGAAGCAGAGAGAGGAGATTTGCATTTCACTGTATAGTTGCCAAAGAATACTCTGTAGATGACTTGAAAGAGAAAATATTTATATTCACAGAACAGCATATTGGACAATGTCTTATTCTATTTTTATATCATTGTGCCTGTACCCTAAATAAACAACTGCTATACATTTGACCAAAACTGGCACTAGTATAGCAGAGAATTTGAAAGCAAATTCCACATGTTATTTTTATTTATGATCTGTCCCTAGGTCTTAGAACCACAGAAACATGCTTTTTCCAAACAACAACAGATGTGTCCTCCCAACACTGAAGTCAAGTACGGAAATATTATTAGTTCAATTACATTAGAATGGACCTAATGCACCAGGAGCTCCGATGACTGGAGCAAGATCACCCAGGAAGCCTGCGGCAGAACTAAGGACATAACACAGACCTTCGAAACTCATCCCTGCCCACATGGGATCTCTCAACATTTCCAGTGCCGCAATGTATTCATCCTCAATCACACAGTACATTGATTCAGGAACAGACACGTTTGGTGTTTTATTTCCATTTAGCTTCATTCACATAGCTAACAATAAAAAAAAAGCTTCTTATGTCATATTTGCATTCGATTCTTTGAGAACATGCCTCGAACTACTGAAGCATTGCAGAGGAAGAATAGTGCAGTGCTGCAAATTCATCTTTCTTTACGGTGAATGGAGGTACTGAAGGAATTGTAGCAAACATGTGGAATGTGTTGCCACTTACTGTGCTGTATGCTGCTGCTGCCCTA